TCAACAGGGTATAAAACTAGTCTTTAAACGAACCCAACATTCAGCAAATCATTCGTAAACCGTTCGACGGAAAGTTCGTTTATGGTCAGTTATTTATTAAACGAACGAATATGAATAATATTTGATGTTCGTTTAATTAAATGAATGAATATGAATAAGAGACTCCTTTGTTCATTTAAGTTTGTGAATGTTAGATAATTTGTTTGTTTATGTTCGTTTAAGTTTTCTAGACTCGTTTAAAATATAGAGACTTACTAATTTTAACCTTAAACTCATTAAATTTTTTAAACTCAAATAAAAAGTACTCAAACTAATTAAAGAAAATATAAATCCTAAAATTATTTGAAAAAATATTTCTCAAATATAAACCCAATTAATTTTATATTCGTTCGTTTATGTTTGTTTATATTCATTTTTGTTTGTATTCTTTACGTTGTTTATTGTATTCGTTTATTATTTAAACGAACGAACATAAACGAACATGAACAAACTAAATTTCTTAAAAAATGAACACAACAATAATTTTAGTTAGTTTAGTTGTTCGTGTTCGTTTGTTTAGTTAAAGTTAACAAACAAACATAAACATATATTCATTCGGCTCATTTGAACTATGTAAAACAATGTCATTCATAAATTAATTACCAGCATAATTTCAGGAAATTATCCCGGAAAGGTTGGAATCATTTATCGTAATCAAGTCTGGATAAAGAACAGTTGCATTTTGCTCTATCATCTTGCTTGCGTTAATAGTTGGTTTCTGAGCTTTAACACTATTTTCCTATTTCAACTTACGTATGTGGTTAGATATTATGTTATTACGAAGGTTTTAAATTCGAAGACGATATGTAGAGGTGTATATGTTTATTTTCAAATGGTTAAGAGTATTTCAACCATATATTATCTCGTATTCAACCTAGTTTAATAAAAAAATGTAAGCATAGTGCAATATCCCTTTGTCACACTTGAAGATTAATATTATTGAGAAATTCTGTTTACAGAAGCAACTCCAAAGTCTGTCCTAAGACTAATGGGCGTGAAAGGCTTGACACTATACCATTTGAAGAGCCATTTACAGGTATGCAAAGATGTAAACTTTAATTTTTTTTTTCCAATAACTATATGACCCTCATCCTATTTTTTGGATCAATGCGACCCTCCAACTCAAAAAAAAAACTCAATATGATCATTTGACCAAAGTTTCTGTCAATGATCAACGGTTTCGTTAATTCCTACTGTTATAAATCAAAATTTGCTTAGTTTTGTTTTTTGTCTACAGAAATACAGACTAGCACAACAGTCAAGGAAGCCAAATGAAGTGGGCCAAAACAAAGAGAATGGTGGTGTAGGAAGTTCATATGTACAATTTAGCAATCATTCTTCAGCTGACAATGAGAAAAGGTAAAATGCAAATTACATTTCCCGATTTACCATGTTACTTTGTGTCAAATGGTTCCATCTAATGAATATGCAGAAGCAGACAAATGCCAATGGCACAGGCACTGAACACTCATGGAAGTACAAAAGACATTGCAAGAGCAACTAGAGGTTCATTAATTCATCCCCTCGAACAAACGTATATAAGTTTCAAATTCGATCGTTTCTAAATCTTCCGATTCTCGATCGAATTAGGTACAGAAGAGACTGCAGATGAGGATAGAGGCTCAAGGGGAAGTACTTGCAGGCAATATTAGAGAAGCACAGAAGAGTCTTTCGTTTGATATCAACCGTGTAGATGAACAAGAGCACAATTAACAAATTTCAACTTGGCTCCATGGAGAATGTGAATGAAGCAGACAGTAAATCGAACACGGTTCATATGAATGATGTCTTGTCCATGAAACCCAGCTGTTCTGCTGATTTGCAAGAAAACAAGGACGTTAAGCTAGAGTTGGAGGGAATCCATCAGTTTTGACCTAAATACCAAAGATAGTTTTGAGTTGTTGCTGTAAATGGAAACGAGCTTCAGTCGCACTGTTTCTATAAGAGATGAAATTATAAAAAAAAAAAAAAGACAAGACAATGTAGTTGTGAATTTAATTGACAATTTCTTACCTAATTGCTTTATTGCCTAAGAATTGTTCAGCCCAGGCAACATGGGATGCATCATTAACGTCTATTTACAACCTAACATATTTAAACAACATGAAATAGTGTAATGTCGTCTTTGATTGGATTATGGGCAATATCTCATCTTACCTGCAACGCAAACCTCAAAACATATGTTAGCAATAAAACCAAGGCATTATATGGCTTGAAGCAAAGCATAAATGTGACTGTGAACCCAAAGCACAGTAAATTTAATTATATATAAAAAAAAGCTTTCACTACCGTATAAAAAACCCTGCAGGAGATCATCTGAAAAGCAAGAGATCAATTAGTGTGAAAGAGAAGAAAATATCATATTGATGGCCATGAAAAGCAAAGTGCTCATCGTTGGAGGAACCGGCTATTTGGGAAAGCGGCTTGTCAAGGCGAGCTTAGAACAAGGTCACCAAACTTACGTGCTACACAGGAAGGAGATTGGTGTTGACATTGACAAGGTGCAAACTGCTGTTATCGTTAAGCAGCGAGGAGCTCATCTCGTCACCGGTTCGTTTAGAGACAACCAAAGCCTGTGACTGCAGTGAAATTAGTGGACGTTGTTATTTGTGCAATCTCCCGTGTTCATATCCGAACCCACCAAATACTGCTTCAACTCAAGCTTATCGACGCCATCAAGGAGGCTGAAAATATTGTGACTTCCCACAACATGCATCAAGGAGGTCATTGTACATGCGTGCTCTGCATTAATCGCTAATTGCTTTGCCGGTTATTTCCAATACAAATATTGTGGTCTGTGTCAAGGAGATCATTGTACATGTGCGCTCTGCATTAACTCTTGTGACTTCCCACAACATCTTCTATTGTAGGATAATACTCGCATCCTCCATTACAGCCAACATAATGATGTATATACCTTACGAAATAAGTCTTTTGATTCGATTCCGCGACATAGAATTAAGATAAGCTTTGATGCAGTACTCCTTGATTGCTATTTGTGTCTCTTTTTTTGTTTCAAACTGAGACCCAATAGCTAACTCAGATGATCACTCGTCTGAAGAATCCCAGTGGAATCACTTAACTTTGACATATCAAATATTTCAGGATTTCGTATAGCATCGTAGTTAACGTCATGCATTGCAACTGTTTGATGATACCGAATCAAATCATGGTGAGACATTTCAGGTTGAGGGTTTGTCATTACCCAAATATTTGGAGCATCTGCAATCCTTGACTTTGTGAAGCAGCTGCCTCTCATACATCAGCCTCAACATCCAAACCTTGTCCCTCTGAAGCAACCTCAAAAAAATCGGACTCATCAACTAATGGTGTGTCGTCATCGTCTACCAACGGAACAATATCTTCATCATCCTCGCTAAATTCAACAAGGTTTTCACCAAATCATCCAATAAGGTTATCATCACCATAACTTGCATGTGGTTCAGGGGTCTTGCTTCTTATGTTCTTCGAGCTTGTACTAATGACGTTGGAATATCAGTTGCATTCATTGTTTTGACGTACATCTCCACCATATTATTATTTGATTATTGATGAAGTCCAACCATAACAGCAATATCGTCATCGTCATCAAGCTGAACTTTTCCATATGTCATTGGATTTGAGGAGATCATGTGCTGATAACTTGAACATGAAACAAAAGCTCCAAGTTTTCTCTTAATTTTTTGCTTCATTTGGCGATGAGATACATCTACAGGGAACATCATATTGATGGGCCTGTGTAACTTAAACACAACACCACATCAGTTGTAGAATTTCACCATTATAATGGATAACTGTGAAGAATTTGTTGCTCATTGTTTGAAATGTTTTTGGTTAGATAAAAGGAGTTGGTGTAAGAGTTTAAAGATGAAAGGAATGTGTTGTATAAGAGATGAAAGGAGTGTGTTGTGTAAGAGATGAAAAGAGTGTGTTATGTAAGAGATTGAAGATAATATTCACAACTTGGGAAGACATTTTTTTCCGTTGGAACTCGTCACACCGGCGTGACGAGCTCCATTGAAATTTTAAAAGAATTTCGACCGTTAAACAACGGTCAATCTAACGATAAAAAAATTTAAATTTACACCCGTTGAAACTCGTCACACCGGCGTGACGAGTTCCGTGAGCATTAAAATATTATTTTTTTTCTTTTACTTTTCTTTTAAAAATTTGAAAAAAAATATTTTTTTTGGGACTCGTCGCTGGGGTGTCGAGTCCCTCAGTATATATTAAATTTATTCTGACTACGGGACCCCACCTGACACGATCCATTAAAAAATTATATTCCATGAAACTCGTCACGCCCATTGGCACGGTTGCAATTGTCGTATATTCGGCCCTAATGGACTCACTTAATTTGATAATATTAAAAAGAATATTAAATTATAAATTTTTTAAATATAAACGATTAAATTTGTTAAGTTAATTTAAATTAAAATAAAATTAATATAGTGAATAAACTAAAAAAATTATAATATCGTATCATAGTAGACTATTAATTTAATTTTAAAAATAAAATAATTTATTCATAATAATATTTTAAAAATAAAATAATTTATTTATAATAAGTTATTCAATCATATTTTAATTCAGTTATTTATAAATAATATTTTAATTCACTGGTATACTTTTATTGGTTAATATGTTTTCTGCCTGTCCAATTTTACATTTGAGACTGCATATAGTAGAATCTAGTTATTTGAAGTTTAGCATTATACTAACATGCCCCACGGTTGGCCATTAATTTTTCTTATTATGAAGCTATGGTACACTTCCTATTGGTCAGACTTCAGAGTCCCCTGGGGTTATTATTTAATTATTTGATAGATAATCGTTTTATGAACCAATTCATGAAATAGCAGGGCCTTTGAAGTCTAAAGTCATGTCTTACTAGTTTTTTAAACTCTTTATTTAATGCAAAAACTTCTTCTCTGATCTCCAATGTCTAATTTTGTAATATCATGGTGAATCAAGTTGTCATGTTCATATTTGACGACAAAAAATGCACAAACGTGGCATACCACAGTTTGAAAGATAATGTTAATTGCAAGATGGTGCTTAAGTATTTGGTTTCCTGTCCCTTCCATCGTCATAAAATTGATGGAAATAATAAGCTAAGGAGCATTTGCACCTTTTATTTGGCTGCTGAATATGTTTATCCATCGGCTTTATTTCATTCTTTTGCTTTAAATTTTTTGGTTATAGGATTTGGCATTTGATCTGTCCCTTTCTGCTCTTTTGGGAGATAACATCTACAACTTTGGAGAACTCCTTGCTCATCCAATTGTGAGTACATCTTTTATCAAGTTTCTTAATTGCACTGTAGGTTGCATCTGATGGTTTTAATGGCAAAATAGCTTCATGTCGCCACATAAATATGTGCCATTATTTAGTTCAAATGATATTCCCGACCGTTTGTTCTTTTTAGTGGGTTTTTTTTAATTGTAAAAGTTAGCTTTTAATTGATGATCATACTCGTCTGCTTGTTTGCTCTTTATTAATATGTGAAGCATGTATTTATTCATGGTACTGCCATTTGCCTGATATAAAATAGCTTCATGTCGCCACATAATATGTGCCATTATTTAGTTCAAATGATATTCCCGACCGTTTGTTTTTAGTGGGTTTTTTTTAATTGTAAAAGTTAGCTTTTAATTGATGATCATACTCTGTCCTGCTTGTTATTTGCTCTTTTATTAATATGTGAAGTATGTATTTAATTCATGGTACTGCCATTTGCCTGATATAAATACCAGCAATGGTTAATTGAGGCATGTTTCTGTCATTCTGTGTCTGTTTTGTCTAAAATCTGATATAGTTCCAATGTAGGTTGGGGGTTTAGTTCAATTCTAGTTTGGGCTGTAAATCAAGCTTTGGTTAGAAGAAAATTTTGAAGCACTTTTGTCTGTAGAGAGATCCTCAAAAATGTTATAGAGATGATTGATTAGTGCTTGATTAAGAAAATTGCTTCTAATTGCACAAAGATAAGGTTCATAGATATTGTTTATGACACTAAGGTTAAATATATGTGGAGGTTCAAGGGAACTAAGTAGTGGCTGAAAGGTGCCAGCTGATAAGAACTTTTTGTTTTATTTTTTTTATGCTATTGCAATTACATGCATACATACTTATTTTTCAATGTGTGGGGCTGATTTGAAAGGCTGCTCGTGTTGTAGGTTTTTTCCTTCTGAATTTATTTGCTTTAAAGTTTTTTTAATTTGTTATGTTTGAGATGATGACATTTGGCATCTTTTACAGATAAAGAGTCTTCTGGGGACTAAGGTGGAGTGGCTTTATTATATCCTTCAAGCTTTCAACACAGGGAGTTTGGTTCGCTATGAAGAATTGTGTCGTGTGCACAATGCTGCATTGAGGGCTCAATCAGCCTTGGTTGAGAATGAGAAGCAGCTGTTGGAAAAAATTAATATTCTATGCTTGATGGAGATTATCTTCAGGTGTGTATGGTTGTAGTGTTCCCTAAGGGATGTGGTCAAAGTTGCTGTTAATTGAAAGCATGGTTAAAATCTAAACTACAATATGTTTCAATGCAGCCGCCCATCCGAGGATCGAACTATTCCATTAAAAGTTATTGCTGAGAGAACAAAACTGTCAATTGAGGATGTTGAGCATCTTCTCATGAAGAGCCTGTCTGTAAGTTAAAAACTTTCACAATTTTTCTGTCTTGTTTTTTCACTTCTTCCTTTTCCTTTATCTCAAGTTTTTTGATGACGCCTTCATAGGGAATGCAAATTATTAAAGGGGATCCAAGGACTGTAGCTTCCACCTTTGAGACCACCCCTTCTCCACCTCAGGCCAACATCAACGTTGGAGACTTACTGGTAATGTTTTCTTTGATGTTTCATAATGCATACTTTTCACTAACTCATTCTTTTGTTGATAGTATTTTAGTGGATCCAAGGATTGGATTATTGTCCTTGATGCCTTTGTATTTGAGTAGAGTAATGCTTTAGCCCTAGCCACAGTTCCAACTGATTCAGGTAAACTATGTTTTTTATTCTTTCTCGTTTCATCTTTTTCGATGTTGTCATAAATAGTCAAGGTTGTAATTTTTTTATTTTGTAGATACTGCATCGACGTTTAATTTTAATGTTGGTCAATCGAAGGATTTTGATTCGATTAGATGGGAACTTGCCCTTGTCACCGCACCGAGCACCAACATTTCTGCAGCTAGTGGAAGGCAATTGGTAGGCACATTTTTGTACTTTGAAGTCTTATTCCATTCTTGTTTTTGTACATTGCTCCCCTTACAACAGTGCAAATGGCAGGAATGCCACAATCGCAACAATCCTTTTGGCGCTTACCATCCATAGTAGCAGCATTTGATGTCTCCCAGCACATTGAATCCGTTTGGTGATGTAGGGCTCGGGGCATTCCCGATGAACCGAACGATCCCTCTTGATCAACCTTATGTCAGCAATAATCCTTTCGGGAGCATAGGCCTATTGTAGTGTTCAATTTCTAGGGTCGATGTGTTGTTTTGATCGATTGGAGATGAGCACGTGTGTAAGTTCTAGACATGGTAACAAGACTGGAGTTGGCCACTTGGAGATGGGTTGTAATGGCGTTGAATTGAAATTGAGGTTTTCATCGTAAATGGAGTTGGGAAGTAGTGGTGGGGACATAATTTTTTTTTTTAATTTTTAAATTGCCACATAATTCTTCTGTTAATAGATTAACGAAATTTAACGGGGAATGACTTAAATCAAACAGATCGATAATGTTAGGGATTATTTACCCTTAATTTTTAAATTGATGATCAAAATCGATCAAACCTAAAACAAAGGAGACTATTCATATAGTTTACCTTAATTTATATTCTTTGGTTTGCAATGTTTAATTAAGTTGCCACTTAAAGAATACAAGGCAGCCACATGTTTCTTTTCTACTTCAAGAATACCACAATGCTCCTACAACTTTCTTTATACAAGCAAATTCCGAATGCAGTCATTCTTGGCGTACAAACGGCGACGAACTAACGTCTGTGCTGTAAAACGAGTCCTATCCTCCATAGTTTTGGTCTTTCTCCTCTTCCCTTTCACGAACCTCTTATATATTTAAATGCTTCATCAATCGATACCCGTGGTCCCTTGCCCTAGATTGCGACACAGACAACTTCTGTCCGGTAAGGGAAGCGTAAAGATCCTCGAACTTCATTGCGGAGTAAAAGAAAGCTAAGCCTGTTGATTATAGCTACAAAATAGTCCTCCGATTATAGAGTGTTGCTTTGTTGACTCCCTCGACTATTAAAAGTTACAAAATGATCACCTTACTATTCATTATATTTCATATTTATCTTTTTCGTAAAAAAAAGTGGATGGTATTTTGTGTTGATGTTAACTTGTTGATTGTGATGTGATAAAATATGATCTTAGAATCTTAAACGACTATCATATCTCAGTTATCATGTTAACGTCCAGCTTAAACAACCGTCAATTTTTAACGGGAAAGGACGAGTCTGGAATATAATGAATAGTCAATGATCATTTTATAACTTTTAATAGTCGATGGACTAACAAAACAACACTCTATAATTATAGGACAATTTTATACTTTTTAATAATTAAAAGACTTAATAAAATAGTACTATATAATCAAGAGACCATTTGAGTATTTTACTCTATTAATTTTAGAGATAATATATGCTCCAACTACGATATGTAACCCGGAAAAGCCCATTATCCGCCCAGTTTAACTTGCACAACAAACCGACCCGAAATATAACAATCCTTTTCTTGGGTCCGGAAACCTTTTTTCTTTCGTCGATTTTCTTGTTTTCCTCTTCAGAACTCCTATTGAGACACAGAAAACCAAAGTTGAAATTTCTAAATCCTTAAGGCTTCAGCTTCTCTCTCTGTGTTTCGACTCTGTGGGGTGTGTTTGAGATCCATGGCGGCCTTGCAATACCTAGAATCCATTCAAAATGAACATCCAGAGCTAGCCGAATGGTACAATTCTCTTGCAGATCTGTATCAGAAGAAACTCTGGCATCAGCTCACTCTCAAGCTGGATCAGTTTGTTGCACTCTCCGCCTTTCAGTCTTTCATTCTATTCCATGTTGTTTGGTTTGGAGTTCGTAAATCTCTTCTGTATTTTGGAGTTTAGAATTGGGGAGTTAGGGTTCTTGGATGGAGTCAATTCTTCCTTTTCTTTCCCCTAGGGTTTTATAGTAGAATTGGGATTCATTTCGGGGTAATTAGGGTTTATATATTACTATTTTTAGTTTTAACTTTGGAACGAAATAAATAGGAAATGTTTATTGCTTTGTTGTTCAATAACTTGGAAATTGTTAAAGAAATTATACTCGGGTCTTTCTTTTTATTTTATATTGTAATGTTTTTGGGCATGTAATTGCTGTTAACTTGCAGTAAAAGGGAGAATAGTGGAAACTTTCGGGCTTGCACACAGGATTAAGCTCGATGAAGTATATAAAAAATGAAAATTAGCATCTGAAGCTTTTTCATGTTTATTTCAGGGCAAAATTCTTCTCTGAATTGTAGAACTGAAAGCATTAGAGGCGATTCTTTTACAACTCTTGGTTTTTAATTTTGCATCTGGAAAATTCAATGGCGGTTTCCTACTGCTTTCTTGTGTCAGTGTATAATGTATAGATAACTAATCTGAAGCGATGTTTACTTGATGATTTTCATTTGAAAGTTGGCTTTCTATTTGTTGTAGTGGTTCTTGCGTACATATTAGCAAATGAACTAATTGTACCCCATGTGCTAGATGTTGGCTAGGTCATCTAACTTCCTATAGCACTTGTTTCTCGTAAATTTCAGGCTGGAGATGCACTGATAAAGTTGTATAACAACTTTATCACCGACTTCGAGACCAAGATTAATCCCCTCAAGCTTGCACATTTTGCTGTTATAGTTTCTCAGCAGTACTCAGAGAAAGAGGCTGCTATCAGTTTTCTTGAAGGAGTGATTGAAAAGCTTCAGGCTACTAAAGAGCGGCGCATAGAAGAGCCAATACTTTATATTAAGATGCAAATTTCCAAATTCAAGCTTGAGCAAGGTGATCAAAAGGAATGCAAGAAACTTCTTGATGATGGAAAGAGTACCCTTGACAATATGACTGACATAGATCCATCTGTATATGCTACCTACTATTGGGTTTCATCTCAATACCATAAATTTCGTCAAGAATTTGCTGAGTTCTACAAATGTGCTCTCCTTTATCTTGCTTACACATCAGTGGAGTCTCTCACAGAATCTTTTAAGCTGGTATGCTTTATTGGTTAATATGTTTATGCCAGTCCAATTTTACTACCTTATATTCTTGGAGCTCGTTAATCTTACTTTAAAAAAAAAACTGTTATTTACATTTGAGACTGCATATAGTAGAATCTAGTTATTTGAAGTCTCACATTATACTAACAAGCCCCACGGTTGTTGGCCATTAATTTTGCTTATTTATGAAGCTTGTGTCACACTTCCTATTGGTCAGACTTCAGATCTCCTCTTAGGTTATTATTATTATTTAATAATCGATTTATCAACCAATTTAGGTAACAGCAGTGCCTCTGATGTCTAAAGTCCGTCTTACTAGTTTTTTAATCCTTTCTTTCATGCTAAAACTTCTCTTATCCCCAATGTCTATAATTTTATAATATCATGGATGAATCAAGTTGCCAGGTATACATTTGACGACAAAATTGCACAAAAATGGCACACCACAGTTTGGAAGATAATGTTGACTTCGTGGTGGTGCTTAAATATTTTTTTCCAGTCCAGTCATAAAATTGATGGAAATAAATAAGCAAAAGAGCATTTGCACCTTTTTATTTGGCTGCTGAATATATTTATCCATCGGCTTTATTTCATTCTATTTTATTTTAAATTCTTTTGTATAGGATTTGGCATTTGATCTGTCCCTTTCTGCTCTTTTGGGCGATAACATCTACAACTTTGGAGAACTCCTTGCTCATCCAATTGTGAGTACATCTTTTATCAAGTTTCTTAATTGCACTATATGTTGCATCTGATGGTTTTAATGGCAAAATAGTTTCATGTCGACACATAACTATGTGCCATTATTTAGTTCAAATGATATTCCCTACCGTTTGTTCTTTTTTAGTTAGTTTTTTTATATGTAAAAGTTAACTTTTAATTGATGATACCCTGACCTGCCTGTTATTTTCTCTTTTATTAATAAGTGAAGCATGTCTAAGTTAATTTTTAGTGCAGGATACTGCTATTTGCACGATAAATACCAGCGATGGTTCGTTGAGTCATATTTCTGTGTCTGTTTTTATCTAAAGTCTGATATAATTCCAACGTAGATGGGGGATTTAGTTCAATTCTAGTTTGGGCTGTTAATCAAGCTTTGATTTGATGAAAAATTTAAAGCAGTTTTCGTATGTAGAGAGCTCCTCAAAAATGTCATGGAGTGCTTGATTAAGAAAATTGCTTCTAATTGCACAAAGATAAGGTTCACAGGTATAATTTATGATGCTCGGGTTAAATATATGTGGAGGTTCAAGGGAGCTAAGTAGTGGCTGAAAGGTGCCATCTGATAAGAGCTTCATTTTGTTTTGTATTTTCTTTTATGCTATCGCAATTACATGCATACATGCTTATTTTTCATCATGTAGGGCTGATTTAAAAGGCTTCTCGTGTTTTAGGTTTTTTTCCTTCTGAATTTCTTTGCTTCAGTGTTTTAATTTTGTTATGTTTGAGATGATGATATTTGGCATCTTTTACAGATAAAGAGTCTTCTGGGGACCAAGGTGGAGTGGCTTTATTATATCCTCCAAGCTTTCAACACAGGGAATTTGGTTCGCTATGAAGAATTGTGTCGGGTGCACAATGCTGCATTGAGTGCTCAACCAGCCCTGGTTGAGAATGAGAAGAAGCTGTTGGAAAAAATTAATATTCTATGCTTGATGGAGATTATCTTCAGGTGTGTATGGCTATAGTGTTCCCTAAGGGATGTGGTCAAAGTTGCTGTTAATTGAAAGCATGGTTAAAATCTAAACTACAATATGTTTTGATGCAGCCGCTCATCCGATGATCGAACTATTCCATTAAAAGTTATTGCTGAGAGAACGAAACTGTCAATTGAGAATGTTGAGCATCTTCTCATGAAGAGTCTGTCTGTAAGTTTAAAACCTTCATCATGATTTTTAAGTTTTTGTTTTTTCACATTTTCCTTAAGTTTTTTAATGACAATTTAATAGGGAATACATATTATTAGGGGGAACAAATAAATTTAGATACAAAGGAAAAAAAACGAATTATCAAGTCTAGTGAACATGGGTAGAAGTCGAAGTCTCTATTTCTGTATGGGGGATGCTTCATCGTATTAC